ACATTTATGTGCTGAGTCACTTTCAGGAAGTTGCCAGCTTCTATTGTGAGACTTTAAGTGGACTGAAATAAACCCTGGCAGCTGTGGAGTGCCACCAGGAGGCCGTCCAGCCTCGCGCTGCTATAAACGTCCCCCGCCTCCACTTTACCGGCAAATAAAAATAGCTCATCCTGGAGAAACAAGAAATGTTTTCAGAACAACTGTTTTCATCCTGTAGGTCATCCTTATGAACAGAGAGAGAACGTTTTGGTTGAATTTACCCAGAATGCCCTGCGCTGTAGTCAGCTTCCTGCCTTTAGAGTGGTCTCTGGTCCGCTTGGCGTTCACATATGCATTCAAACTGAACCAAAGTTCACTTCAACCGAACCCAGACCAATTTACTGTTTTTGTTCCACATCAGGATTTGATTACAAATTCACACTTTATTAAACGAACCAAACTTCCCTGGATTGGAACGGACCACAGTGGGACTGCAGCTTAAAAACACACAAAAATAAAACCAAGCACAGTAAATGTGAAAATGTGTTATCGACCTTCAAAGTAAAAGCATGCGTTGGATCTTCTTGAGGCATTACTCAGCATTGAACAATTAGGACATGTAAAACCATCAACTTCACCTAAACGAAATTCTATGATAAACTCAAAATACGGCTTAAAATCAAACAATAAGAGAATAAAGGTAAGTACTGTAAACTTTACATCATCGTAGACTGACTGTTGGATAATTTAATGCAAAATTCACCTAAACTTTTTCTGCCTCCATTTTTATGAAGATCAAACGTTTAGCGTTTTGTTTTCAGTTTCTAGGAAAGCTGCGATTTTAAATGAAAGGCCTTGAAATGTAGAAGTGACTGCTGCTCCACAAGCACGAGGAAACAGCGCTGCTAAACCAGCCTGAGGAGGCAGAGGAGGAGGAGGAAGAGCGGGTACGGACACACAGCCGTACAGCTCATAATTACTGGCTTTGTCAGACGACATCTGTTATGTCAACATTCCAGCCGTCAGCCTGGAGCAGGATTCCTCAGGACAGGAAGAAACAGGGTCAGATTCAGGGAAACGAGTTTAGAGTTCAGCTCAGAGTTCAGCTGGACAGACTTCAAGTTCAAATCCTTCACCAGACCGTGACCTTTGACCTGCCTGCGGTCAATGTTCTCCTGCGTTCAACGAGTTTCTCCGCACAAACCAAGCCGAGCGTTAGCCGTTTAATCGCGTTGTGGTTTAGCCCCGACAGCTAGCTGCAGGTGTCTGAGGAATGAGGAACCGCTGCTCACCGGGAAAATCACCCAAACCTCAACATGCAGGTGTTGTTGCTACTGTTCTTAATCAATGCATTCACAGTAAATAGTAAAAATCAGATAATATTTATGTGCATTCCTCCTTCTACATCTACAAGCTTTGGGAACCGTTAACAGGAGGGTTCAGCCACAATCCAAACAAAAGCTGCACTTAATCTACAGCAGAGGATTAGAAATGACTGCATGCTGGTGAAGAGAGTCGGGCTAATTTCATGAGCAGAAGACGGATCTGCAGAGCCTTCCAGGTGGGAAGAGGGAGAGGAGGCGATGAGAGAAATGTGAAGATGTCAGACGGTGTGGAGGAGGAAAGGTGCATCCCAACTCTTCCTGGAATGTTTTTATGGCTCTCTGGAATGTCCTGTATAGTCTCAATCCACGCAGTTAGCAAAGCATAGCATCCATCTTTTTATTGCTGGTAAAAAAATAAATAAGAAAAACACCTTATTATCTCCGTCACTTTAAATGTTTAGTTTTCTTCTGCTTAAGCTCAAAACACAAACTGGTCAGCGTGTTTCTGATCTGCCAATATTAAATATGAAATTATAAGTCAGCTTCTTTCTCTGAATTTACTGTCATAAAATAAAATTAATAGTGTTTTTCATGAAGTACATGCTAAATTAAGAACAGAATGTTAATCTGGAAACCAAAACGAACTTTCAAGTCTTCGAAATGTACTTATAAAGTTCTGTGAAAGTATTCCTCAGAAATAACCAATAGTTTCTAAAAGTTCCCAAAATGCAGTTTATTAGTTCTGATAACATATTTAAACTCCAGGAATGTAAAACTTAAGATCTGGAAGGAAACAGATATATTCTGGAAAAGTAAGTAAAACTTATGCAGAACCTGAAAGTTTCAGAAAGTAATGTCCAAGTTCTGGTAAAGAAAACTGTAAATTCTTCAAAGAAAGCAACCTGGAAATTTCAGAAGTATCAAAAGTATAAAGAGATGCATCTGTAATTTACAAAGTCCTGGTAAGTTCTGGAAACATCTGGAAACGAGCCTGACAGTTTCAGGACAGTAATTTGCAAGTTGTGAGTTATGGAGAAATAACACAGAGGTTCCAGTGAAGTAATTAGTAACATTAATCTGGAATGTCACTCATACAGGAACATCAGGTGTAAAGTTCTGGTAAGTAACCTTTAAGTTCCGGAAATGCGACTGTAGACTGAGGAGATGTGACCTGACGTTAAGACAAAGAAATGCTCAGTTATTTAAACTCAGTCGACATGAAAAAACGTACCTGGAATGTAACTCGTAAACTTCTGGAAAGTAATCTGTAAGTTCAGAAAATGTACGGAGGCAAACTGAAACGCTTCAGGACAGTAACTTAAATACTGTGCTCATGTCACCTGGAAATTATGGAAACATACAAGTTCCACTAAACTGGGAATTCTGGGAAAATAATCTGTAAATTTCATGTCATTTGTAAAGTTCTGGTAAGTAACCTGTAGGTTTCATGATCTATTACCTGTAGATTATGATGTCTTCTGGAAGTAAAGTTCAAGTTTCAGTAAATTGTAAATTCAGCTAAAGACATCTACTAGTTCTACAAACAAGTTTTAAATAATCTGTAATTCAGTGAAAGCGTTCGCTGTAAACGTTGATTAAATTTCAGTGAAGAACCTGAAGTTGACGGATCTTTGTGTTTCAGTATTTTACCGTCTGTGGACTGATGAGAAATGTTATTTACAGACAACCAGGAAGTGCAGCTGGTTGGGATCTTGCAGTTGTGACAATATATTAGAGTGAAAATGCTGAACTTTGACCTTTTCGTCCCGTTTCTGATGTGAAAGGGCTCAGTTCAGTTTACCGCTGACATGGAGGATCTCTTTAAAATAGCAGCCAGAGCAGATGTGTGTGAGAGGAGAGTTGAGACGGCGAGGGGAGCATGAATGTTCCTGTTTCGTTTGTCTGGCTGACTTTCTGCCTGCCACATTCCAGAGTACAGTTCAAGAGTTCAGTTAATTCATGAACTCTGTTGAGGCACCACACCCAGCCGGCGGCACGTTGAAACCCTTCTCACCAGCTCCAGTTGCCTTTCCGCGCCATACGCATGCATGTGTTCAGTTGTCTCTACATGAATCTGGTTGGAGTGCTCTCATGGTCCCTGCACACAGGTGCTTTCACTTATTCAGCCTGATTGGACCTCAGTGTGGGTGGGGTGACGCTGACTGACAGTTCAGGGACGTTGGTTCATTATGAAGCGAAGCTCCTGAAGTGGAACAAGCAAAACGAGCCGCTGTGTCACGCACAGAACCTTCACACAAATCAGAAGTAAAGAGAAAACATCTGACTGGATTTAACTGGTTTCAACGACTTTCACCTTTTATCTACATACCAGTTTCCCTTTAAGCTTCTGTAAAAGTCAAAATATGACAGATGATTGTAAAGACTGAACACATCAGCGGTTCACAGATGAGGCCTCCTGGCTTAGTGGAGAAGTCCTGAAGCCTCTCCTCCTGTTTTAAGTTGGTCTGATTCCACACGCCTGACCTTTCTGAACGGGTCATCATAGGCAGCTGCACGGTCGATGCCACGCTGTGCAGGAGCAGAGAGGCATCTAAAACAAAGGACAGGAGGCGCTAAGGACCAGGCATGGGGATAACTGGCAGATTTCCTCACTGCGTAAGAGTCCAGCTCAAGTCTTCAGGAGCCGTAGTCCTGCCAGGTTCATCCCTGTCAGTTCAGAAAGCTTTAAACCAACTCCAGTCCGTTTGCCTAGACAGTCCGGTTCGCTTGCCGAGGTGTGAATGTGTAAAAAACAAACTCTGGTCTGCCTACAAACCTCGGTTTGGGTTCAGTTGAAGTGAAATCAGGAAATGGACTACAGTGCAGGGCATTCTGGGTAAATGCAACCAAAACAAACAGTCTAGTCTCGCACTAGAGGGAGGAATGGCTCCTGGTTTTGACTTTTACCAAACAGAAAAATCCTCCAAATGCTAAAATCTGACACCTCTCCATGTCTGTTTCCATTTGGTGAAGGAGGAAATTGAACTCAGTTTCTTCTTCAGAGGTTTTTTGTAGTTTCCTGCAGTGGTTCTTGGTGCAGCGCCCCCACATGCCAGGAGGGGAACAGGTTGGTTTGACTCAGAACCACAGCAGCTGGAAGTGGAAGTTTACTGGCTGCTTTGGTCAACATCTGTTGTTTCTAACATGCTTTCTTGATAAACTGACTAAAGAAGTAACTTCCTCTCCAAGAAACAGCTGAAGACTAGAATGATATGAATCTTCGTTGGAGAGGAAACAAGTTGATCTTTGTAAGTTCACACATGCGTGAACTTTGTGACCTCAAACATCACACAAAGTCAAAATTTGCTGAACCTGTACTAAATGTGTGATTATGAAAAGAGGGGTCTTTACTTGTTAAGACGTCTGTTAGTGGAAAGATGCAGAAATGTCATCAGGTTTCTTCAGGTCTTTGGCCCAAACGGCTGAGAATAGTGCAAAAGTATTCATATGCCTCAAACATTTAAGCATTCTGTCATCATCTTGGGATTTTATTTGAATGATCTGTAAGTGGTCCACAGTGGTGAAGTGTAAGGCAGCCGAAGCATCCTGATCACATGTAAAACGTGTTAGCAGCTCTTTCTGAGAAGCGAAGCTTGCAGTTGCCACCTCCACTTACAAAAGCAGAAGAGGAAGATAAAAACAACCTGAAGCACAAAACATTTACATAAAACGTCTCTCTGCTCTTCTTCACGCTCACAGCAGAAGTTGGACCCGAATCGCTGAGCAACATGAGGACCAGAACCACGGAGCTGAAGATGACAGGCCTGGTGTTTACAGGTAGCATCCTACCTGTAGACACCAGGTCTGCCATCCTGACCTTCCAACGACCTTCAGCCTGTTGGTGATGATCTCTGAGCTGCAGGTGTGGCTGGAGGAGACTCAGACTGACAAACCAGTTGTTTTAATTTAGGCTTTAGTTAGCACTGTAACAAAAAGATAAACTTCACTATGTGTTTCTATAAAATCCAGGGTTTTTTTTTATTAATTAATGTTCTTTGTAATAATTTTGTGTCAGATGAAATAGAAGAACAGGAAGATGAAAAGGCGAATGCAGAAATGGTGTTTGGGAGAAAACTGGCCATCATCTCCGCCTGAAGAAAAGAAAACGGGTAACGATTCTGAATCAGTCCGTTAATAATAATGTTCACATTTTCTTCAAACTAAAACCCAGAGAGAGAGAAGAAAGTCTGCAAAACTATTTTGGGTTTAGAATATTTTCCTACGTTTTAAATTAAATGAAACGTCTGTTTTTATTTAGAGATGAAGATTCCAGCCGTGGTTTGGTCTGCGCCACCAGTCGCTGCCTGTTGGGTGATCCTGATGATAATCGTGGCTCTGCACATCCACTGAGTAACAACACAGATCACCTCCATCCTATTTATTCACATTAAAAGAAAGTTATTATTTATTGCTTCTCACTGAGAACTTCTAGAGTTTCTGTTTTTAAAACGGTGCTTCAAATTTAAACAGGAGCCACGTTATTTTCTGCATTTTAAAATTTTAAATAAATTAAAACAAAAACTTTGCTGGAGGATCATTTTCACCAAGTTTATAACTTAGTGGTTGCAGTTATTTGGCCATTTGTTGCTGCAGGTTGAAGCATCATGTTACGTTTTAAGTCTGGAAAAAACATAAAACCAGAAACTGACACTATCCATAGTTTAAACTTTTAGACTTTTTAATTCCTACCTTAAAATTTCAAAATGGCTGCCGAGCTCAAACAACACAAACTGTTTAACTGTTCATTTGATATTCTGTTAATTGGTTCCCATTAAATCAGTTAACACCACAGCAAATTATTTAAAGTGCAAAGAAATTCATTACTAACAAAACTAGTATAACAGTGGATAAGTTTTTAATTATGTACTGCTAATTAAAAAGTTAGTTGCACCAACCCTAAAAAGTTAACAAGCCTTGCTAATGTGTTATCAACATAATATTTAATGGAAGCTAATGCTAAGTGCTAACTTTCACATTTTAGAATTTAGCTGGAAAAATTCAGGAGAAGCGACAGACATTTAATGTTTTCAAAGTTATTAAAACTGTTAAAAGATTAGCTCTGCTGTTAGCTCATCAGTAGCTATTAGCTTGTAATGCTAACAGTGGACAGCCTCGTTAGTGAGCTTTATAGTTATCAGATTTAATTTCCTGTAGGGAGATATTAAGAAAATGAAGTGAACATGTAAATAACCCCCTGCTGCTGGGTTAGATGTAAATGTTTCAAAACATTTTGTTATCCTTTAAGGTTCGTTGTTGTTCTATTTTTATATTCCAGATACGTCTGATAAGCTGAAATATTCAGAAGAAAACAATGAGGTCTTATGGCAGAGCAACCAGATGCTAACCGCTAAATATCAACAACTTCAGGCAGATCTCCAGCAGCTGACTGCAGACCAGCAGCTTAGGAAAGAAAATCACAATCTAGATGCTGAAAACCAGCTGCTTCGGACAGAAAATCAGAATCTAGATGCTGAAAACCAGCAGCTTCGGACAGAAAATCAGAATCTAGATGCTGAAAACCAGCAGCTTAATTCAGAAAATCAGAATCTAGATGCTGAAAACCAGCAGCTTAGGACTGAAAATCAGAATCTAGATGCTGAAAACCAGCAGCTTAGGACAGAAAATCAGAATCTAGATGCTGAAAACCAGCAGCTTAGGACAGAAAATCACAATCTAGATGCTGAAAACCAGCAGTTTAGGACAGAAAATCACAATCTAGATGCTGAAAACCAGCAGCTTAATTCAGAAAATCAGAATCTAGATGCTGAAAACC